CCCTGTGTCTGCACGGGTTTCTTTTGTGTGCTCCAGTTTCCTCCGACAGTCCACCTACAATCCGACCCCACAACCAAAGAGATATTTCCCTCCCCACCCCATCTGCCTTTCGTAGGGACCACTCATTCTGCGACTTCCTCGTCTGCTCCACACTCCTCACGAACCCCACCACACCCGATACCTTTCCCTGCAACCGCAGGAAGTGCTACACCTGCCCCTACGCCTCCATCCAAGGCCTGAAGCAAACTTTTCATATCAGACAGGGGTTCACCTGTATATCTGCCAACTTGGTCTACTGTATCCGTTACTCCCAATGTGGCCTCCTCTACATCGGTGAGACCAAGCGTAGACTTAGAGACCATTTTGTAGATCATCTGCATTCGGTCGCGACAAACGACAACACCTTCCGGTAGCCAACATTTTTAACTCCCCCTCCCACTCCCTGGGTGACATGTCCATCCTGGGCCTCCTCCAGTGCCATAATGACACCACATGCAAACTGGAGGAGCAACACCTCATTCCACCTCAGGAGCCTACAGCCTGATGGCCTAAACATAGAATTTACCAGTTTTAAAACCTCCCCACCCCAGGCCTCATCCCATGTCCAACCCTCCCGCTCATCCCTGCCTCCTTGACCTGATATATCCTGTCCATCTTCTCTCCCAACTATCCGTCCCACCCATCCCACTGACCAATCCCCACCACTCCCAATCCCCACCTGTATTCACCTATTACCATCTCACCTACCTTCCCCAGCCCCCCCCCTCCTCTCAGCTCCCTTTCCCCTCCCCATTTGTGAAGAAGGGTCCTGACCTGAAACGTCAACTTTCCTGCTCCTCTAACGCTGTGTTCCTTGAGCTCCATACTGTGTTGTCTGACTCCAGCATGTGCAGTTCTTGCTATCTCCAAGGGATTCTATGGGTGTGCATTTGGTAAATAGCGATGATAACAATAAAGATTTGACATTAAGTTGGAAAAAGATGAAAATCAGTCAATGATTGAGATTCCTGACTGGAAAAGGATAGATTTTAGGGGTCATTAAAGTTGAACTGGAACACATTGATTGAAATGTATTTTGGCAGATAAAACAGTGAATGAAAAATAGGAGAATTTAAAAAGAGAAGTGAATAGGGTGCAAGCCAGGTACATGCCCATGAGAAATAAATATGGGGTATCCAAAGCTACATTACCAAGAATGACTAAGGATATTCTTGAGAAAATAAGCAAGAAAACGGAGACATATAATACACACCAGACGAATAAAAGCAGTAGAAATCAGGAAGAGCATTTCAAATGCAGGAGAGAGAATAAGGCTGAAATAAGGAAGGCTAAGAGAAAGCATGAGGAAAGGATGGCAGGCTGTGCTAAAACAAATAGCAAAATGTTCTTCAAACATATTAATAGTCAAAGATTAGTGAAGGATAGAGTGGAGCCCATTAGGAACAAGCAGGGTAAGCTGCTCACTGAAGCAAAGGATGTGTCAGAGGTACTAAATGAATATTTTGTTTCTGTCTTTATGAAATTAGAAGATGGTGACAATGCCTAGTTGAAAATGTGGGTATTGAGCAATATAGTGATAGATAACAAAGTGGTACTAAAAAGACTGGCAGCACTTCAGGTACAGAAGACACCAGGCCCAGATGGGATGCATCCTAGATTGCTGAGAGATGTAAGACAGCAAATTGTAGAGCCATTGACAGAAATTTCCTAGGTTCCTCTGAACACAGGATAAGTCCCAAGGACTGAAGGATTGTAAATATGACACCGCTGTTTAAGAAAGGATAACCCAGTAAACTACAGACTTGTCAGCTTGACATCAGTAGTAGGAAAACTGATGGAGCCCATAATATAGGATAAGGTAAATATACACTTAGAGAAAAATAAGTTAACACCAGACAGCCAATATGGCTTTGTCAATGGCAGGTCATGTCTTACAATTTTAACTGATTTTTTGACAATGTGACAGAGGCTGTGGATGTTGTAAATTTGGACTTTCAGAAAGCATTTGATATGGCACCACAAATTATGCTGGTTAGCAAATTAGATACAAGAGCTAGAAACAGGAGTAGGCCGTCCGGCCCTTTGAGCCTGCTCCGCCATTCAATAAGATCATGGTTGATCTTTTCGTGGACTCAGATCCACTTAACCGCGTTCTCACCGTATCCCTTAATTCCTTTATTGTTCAAAAAAAATCTACCTTATCTTTAAAAACGTTTACTGAAGTAGCGTCAACTACTCCACTGGGCAAGGAATTCCATAGATTAACAACCCTCTGGGTGAAGAAGTTCCTTCTCAATTCAGTCCTAAATCTGCTCCCTCTAATTTTGAGGCTATGCCCTCTTGTCCTAGTTTCACCTGCCAGTGGAAACATCCTCTCTACTTCTATCTTATCTATTCCCTTATAATTTTATATGTTTCTATAAGATCCCCCCTCAATCTTCCGAATTCCAATGAATATAATCCCAATCTACTCAGTCTCTCCTCATAAGCCAAGCCCCTCAACTCTGGAATCAACCTAGTGAACCTCCTTTGCACCCCCTCCAGTGCCAGTACATCCTTTCTCAAGTAAGGAGACCAAAACTGCACACAGTACTCCAGGTGTGGCCTCACCAGCACCTTGTACAGCTGCAACATAATCTCTCTGCTTTTAATCTCAATCCCTTTAGCAATGAAGGACAAAATTCCATTTGCCTTCCTAATTACTTGTTGTACCTGCAAACCTACCTTCTGTGATTCATGCACAAGGACACCCAGGTCCCTCTGCATAGCAGCATGCTGCAAATTTTTACCATTCAAGTAATAATCCTTTTTACTATTACTCCTACCAAAATGTATGACTTCACATTTATTTACATTGTATTCCATCTGCCAGACCTTTGCCCACTCACTCAATGCATCTATGTTCCTCTGCAAAGTTTCACAGTCCTCTGCACACTTTGCTCTGCCACTCATCTTAGTGTCATCTGCAAACTTTGACACCCTACACGTGGTCCCCAACTACAAATCATCTATATAAATTGTAAATAATTGCGGTCCCAACACCGATCCCTGAGGCACACCACTAGTCGCTGACTGCCAGCTAGAATAGCACTCATTTATCCCCACTCTTTGCTTCCTGTTAGTCAACCAATCCTCTATCTATGCTAATACTTTACCCTTAATGCCATGCATCCTTATCTTATGCCATAGCCTCTTGTGCGGCACCTTGTCAAAGGCCTTTTGGAAATCTAGGTACACCACATCCACTGGGTTCCCATTGTCCACCTTGCTCGTAATCTCTTCACAGAACTCCAAAAGATTTGTCAAGCACGACCTGCCCTTCATGAACCCACGCTGCCCAATGGGACAATTTCTATCAAGATGCCTTGCTATTTCTTCCTTGATAATAGACTCAAGCATCTTCCCCACTACAGAGGTTAAGCTAACCGGTCTATAATTCCCCATATTTTGTCTACTTCCCTTTTTAAACAGTGGCATCACATTTGCTGTTTTCCAATCTGCTGGGACTGCCCCAGAGTCCAGCGAATTTTGGAAAATTACCGCCAGTGCACCTGCTATTTCTCCCACCATCTCTTTTAGTACCCTGGGATGCATTCCATCAGGGCCAGGAGACTTATCAATCCTTAGCTCCATTAGCTTGCCCAACACTACCTCTTCCGTAATAATGATTGTTTCCAGGTCCTCACCTACCTTTGTCTCTTTGTCAATTACTGGCATGTTATTAGTGTCCTCCACTGTGAAGACCGATACAAAATACCTGTTCAATGCCTCGGCCATTTCATCATATCCTTTAAATTCCCCTTCTCATCCTCTAAAGGGCCAACGTTTACCTTAGCCACTCTTTTTCATTTTATATATTTATAGAACCTTTTGCTATCTGTCTTTATATTCTGTGCTAGTTTTTTCTCATGTTCTATCTTACATTTCTTTATAGCTCTTTTTGTGGCTTTCTGTTGACCTTTAAAGTTTTCCCAATCTTCTAGTTTCATGCTGTTTTTGGCCACTTTGTATGCCTTCTCTTTCAATTTGATAGCCTCCCTTATTTCTTTAGACACCCATGGCAGATTACCCCTTTTCTTACAGTCCTTCCTTTTCATTGGAATATACTTTTGCTGAGCACTTTGAAAAATTGCTTTGAAAGTCCTCCACTGCTCGTCAACTGTCCCACCATAAAATCTTTGTTTCCAGTCTACTTTAGCCAAGTCCTTCCTCATTCTATTGTAGTTCCCCTTGTTCAAGCACAGGACCCTGGTATTGGATTTTATCTTCACACTCTCCATCTGTATGTTTGGGGTTGATGGGTTCTTGGCAGTGTGGATTAGAAGTTGGTCAAAAGATAGGAAACAGAGGGTAGGTATAGATGGGCATTTCTCAACTTGGAGAGGATTTGAAAGTAGTGCTCCCCAGAGAATCCTTGGAGAGAGTTCAAAGAATATTTACTAGAATTACACCAAGAATGGGGAATTTAGATACATTGAAAGATTATAAAAATTGGGCATATTGTCCATGGAACAGAAAAGATTATTAAGTGACCTTATTGAGATTTTCAAAATTATAAACAATTTTGACAGGGTAAAGAAAGATATTCTGTTTCTACTAGTTGAAATGTCTGTAACTAGGGGTAACAATTTCAAGACTGTCAGCAAGAGAGCTAGGAGCAAGATGAGGAAAAACTTCTTTACTCAGAACTTTTAGGATTTAGAATGCGTTGCCTGGGAGAATGGAGGAGGCGGATTCCATAGGAGATTACAAAAACAAACTGAATATATATTTGAAAGTGATGAATTTAGAGGGCTACGGAGATAGGGCTGAAGAATGGGACTAGCTGGGCAGCTCTTTCAGGAGTCAGTACAAACGCAATGGGTCAAATGGTCTCCTTCTGTATTGTAAAATTCTATGATTCTATGACAATATCTATGTACATTCCCAGCTTCACTTAGAAATTTCTCCACGTGTTGAAGGAAGACTGTTAACAGCAGAAACATATCCCCTCAGGTCACTCATGAACTCGCTGGTGTCTAAGCAGTTGGGATGAATCAATGAATCCCTTCCCACACTCAGAGCAGGTGAATGGTCTCTCCCCAGTGTGAACTCGTTGATGTTTCAGCAGGTTGGATGAATCAGTAAATCCCTTCCCACACACGGAACAGGTGAATGGTTTCTCTCCAGTGTGAACCCGCTGGTGTACAATGAGGTCAGATGACTGCCTGAACCTCTTTCCACAGTAGGTACAGCTGAATGGTCTTTCCTCAGTGTGAACTCGCTGGTGTTTCAGTAGGGTGGACGAATCAGTGAATCCCTTCTCACACACGGAGCAGGTGAATGGTTTCTCTCCAGTATGAACCCGTTGGTGAGTCAGCAAGTGGGACGAGTGACTGAAACCCTTCCCACATACAGAGCAGATAAATGGCCTCTCCCCAGTGTGAACTCGCTGGTGTACAGTGAGGGTGCCCGAGTGCCTGAACCTCTGTCCACAGTAAGGGCAAATGAATGGCCTCTCCTCAGTGTGAACTCGCTGATGTGTCAGCAAGTTGGATGACTGAGTGAATCCTTTCCCACATACAGAGCAGGTGAATGGCCTCTCCCCAGTGTGAATTCGTTGGTGTTCAATGAGGTCACCTGACTGCCTGAATGTCTTCCCACAGAAAGTACAGCCGAACGGTCTTTCCCCCGTGTGAACTCGCTGGTGGACAGTGAGGCTGGCTGACTGCCTGAACCTCTTTCCACAGTCAGTGCAGCTGAACGGCTTCACCTCAGCATGAAGTTGCTTAGCTGTCAGCAAGTTGGATGCATCAACGAATCCTTCCTCACAGTCAAAGCAGGTCAAGGGCCCCTCTCTCGTGTGACTGCGCCGATGTGTTTCCAGCTGGGATGGGTAACTGAATCCCTTCCCACAGACTCCACATTGCCATGGCTTTTCACCAGTGTGACTGCGTCGATGGATTTCCAGCTGGGATGGATAATTGAATCCCTTCCCACAGTCTCCACATTTCCACGGTTTCTCTCCAGTGTGACTTTGTCGATGAATTTCTAGCCTGGAAGGATAATTAAATCTCTTCCCACAGTCTCCACATTTCCACGGTTTCTCCGTGGTGCAGGCATCCTTTTGGCTCTCCAGGTTGCACAATCAGTTGAAGTCTCATCCACTCTCAAAACACATGTACAATTTCTCCCCACTGTTGCTTTTTCCTCACTGTGTAACTGGCTAAAGCACTTTCCACAGTCAGTGCACTGGAAAACTCTCACTTGCACGTGCTTTTCCAGCCACACAGATGTTTGAAATCGTTTTCCACTGACAAATCAGATGAATACATTCAAAGACTGTCTTGATGAACCGAGTGACTGTGTCTGATCTTGGTGTGATGTCCAATTCAAGTTTCCGATGAGGAAAGCCTCTCCCTTCTTATTTCTGTTAAAGGAGTTTACAAAAGTCATCATTGCAAGTACAGGAGAGAAATCTAGAACAGTCAATTTGAGTTTCTATGCACCATTTTCCCTCTCATTTCACTAAAGCTACAGATCTCCATCCCATACACTGACACTCGTCCCTCTGTCAAAATCCAATAAACTATCAGAAATAGTTTTCTACACGGTTTAACAAATATGTACAACTAAAGATAGAAATAAGTTTGATAATTCACTTCAATCATTAATCATGGCAGAACATGAATATAAAAAGTCCCTGACCAACAATACAGAATAGCAGACAACGGTCTTGTATTCAAAACTGACTGTGCGAATATGAAATGAACAATTGTGAAGGGGTTTCTCCATGCACCCCAGATTGTCCATTGTTTCTCCTGGAATTCTCAAAAACTAAATTAAACCTGGAATTAGTCTCATCAGCCACTATGGTTCTGACTCTCTTTCTAATTATTAAGTGAGTCCAATTAAGTATTGAGAAGACAAACACCACTGTTGTCCCATTAACAGCTATTCACCCTCCCAGCTTGATCGTTAGCAACTCCTTTGTCTGTCCAACTGTCTCTCTCTCTCTTTGGGCTCTATCTTATCGTTTACTCCCTACCCCACCCACCTCCCTATTTTCTGCATATAAACTTTCCCAGCCACCATCAGTTCTGAGGAAGGGTCACTAGACCTGAAACGTTAACACTGTTTTCTCCTCCACAGATGCTGCCAGACCTGCTGAGCTTTTCCAGCAACTTTGTTTTTGTTCCTGATTCACAGCATCTGCAGTTCTTTTGGTTTTTATTTACCACAGTTGGCAATCCCTACTCCAATCTCCATTCCCTAGCTACTGCCTCCATTGCTCTCCCTGGAATACTGAAACTTTGCCAGCCTGTTCACAGCGTCCAAACTAAAATTGCCTCAGTACACCTCTAATGTCATCTGACCTCATCCCTAACTCAGTGAATCTGATGCAGGAACCCTTACTCATGTTTTTGATACCTCAGGATTGACTATCCCAATGCAATCCCTAATGGTCTCCCACCCTCTGGACACTTGAAGTCGTCCAAAATTTTGCTGTCAGTAACTCATTATAATTCCCATTTCCCATCATTCCTGTGCTCAATGAACTGCACTGGTACACAAGCCACATCTCTATTTTAACATTCGCCATTCCTCATCTCTCCTTGTGCACTAACCCCACAAGCCTCCGAGAAACTTCTCCTAAGCTAAATCTTGATCTTTTGCGCCAGCCCAATTTTCATTGCTCCTCCATGTGTGGCTGCCTTCAGCTAACTGGGCCCCAACGTCTGGAATCCCCTCCTTGAACCCTACTTCTTTCACCAACTGTTTGATCATCTGCCCAGGCACCTCATGACTCTCCATGCAACAATTTGTTGTACCTCCTTCCTGTGAAGTTCCGCGGGGTGGTTTATTATGTCAAAGGCGGTATATAGATAGAAGTGGTTATTGTTGCTACTATCTGCACCCCTGGCCTCCAACCTTACAACCCAACGATATCCCCCACACTCTGTCTCTTCTTTCTCCTTCCCGTGGGATCGTTATCCGGGTTTGCCAACCCACGAAGGTGAGAGCTGCGCATGCGCCTTGCAGCGTAGCGTCCTCAGCAACATGTCCGCTGCCTATGAACCGAGCTGCGCTGAGCCCACAGCGGCCGTTAACTCGGGCCTGTTTCCTGAAGGTACCCGCTTAGGGTAAACGCCAAACTAGGAGCTCATCACATGCAGTTTAAGGCTTACACTGAACATTTTCGAAACACCAAACCGCCACCTCCCGTCCGTTCACCGGACGGTGAAAACTCCGCCGCCACAAAGTTTCTAACCGAGCGCCGGTGCCTCTTCCCAGTTCCTCACTGCGCACGCTCAGGTCAAATCGTCATTCACGGCTTCCTCCAACCAATAGGGGTGGACGAGGGGCGGGTCTGAATCCGACTCTTGCTCATTGGTTGACACTAATTTATTTGCCAGCTTGATTTGCGTAAAATCCCAGGAGGAAACTAAACCCTCCTGTTCCTGGCTTTAAGAGATTAGAATCCTCGGGCTGGAGCAAGCATTTGAACATTTGTTACTGAAATAGGAAGATGATAAGACAAATTAAGACATGAATTTAAAGAAATAACTGTGGAGACAATGGAATCTCATCACTGGAACAAGCAGAGTCCCAAAGTCACACGACACCAGGATATAGTCCAACAAATTTATTTGGAATCACACAAGCTTTTGGAGCGCATCCCCTTCTCAGGTGCAGTGAGAGAGCAGGGTACACAGACACAGAGTTGATAAGCAGGGAGATCAAACGATCATAACAACTTCTCTGAGTGGAGTGTCAGATGATAAGTCTCTGCGGGTGACCAAAAGTGTTAAACGGTATGTGAAAGTGTTTATAAAGTCAATGTCAGTGCTATGCTGTCATGAGAATAAGGCAGAGCCATAAGAATAAAAACCAAAAGAACTGCGGATGCTGTAAATCAGGAACAAAAACACAGTTGCTGGAAAAGCTCAGCAGGTCTGGCAGCATCTGTGGAGGAGAAAACAGAGTTAACGTTTCGGGTCCGGTGACCCTTCCTCAGAACAGAGCCTTAAGAATATTCACAAGGTGACATCTCAGGTCAGACACGGAATTGTGGGGGTGAAGCTTGGTTCAGAGTTTTAACCTGGAATCAAGCCGGTTTTATTCTGAAATCTGGAATTTATAAGATGCTACACTGACTGACTATGACTACAAATTGTGTGTTTCTTGAAGAAAATAGATGTACGCATACAAACATCTTGCATCACATGATTCACCTCATTGATTTTTATTTGTGGGGGAGAGAGGGTGAATGGGAGTGTGTGTCTGTGTGTGTGAGAGAGAGAGACAGAGAAAGTGCGAGAGTGTGTGATAGAGGGAGAATGTGTGTGAGAGAGACTATGACAGAGATTGTGAGAGGAAAATAGTGTGACAGAGAAAGAATGTGTGAAAGGGAGAGTGTTTGTGAGAGAGAGAGTGTTTGTGAGAGAGAGAATCTGTGCATGAGAGAGAGTGCATGTGACTGTGAGAGTGAGTGTGTGAGAGTGAGATAGAGAGTGTGTGAGAGTGAGATAGAGAGTGTGTGTGGGAGAGAAACATTGTGTGTGTGAGAGTGTGTGTGTGAGTGAGAGAGACAGAGACATTGTGTGTGCATGTGAGTGTGTTTGTGAGAGACAGGAGAGTGTGTGTGAAAGAGAGTGTGTATATGTGAGAGAGAGAGACTGTGACAGAGTGTGTGTGAGAGAGAGAGAATCTGTGAATGAGTGTGAGAGGGAGATTGTGTGTGCGAGTGAGAGAGTGTGTGTGAGAGAGTATGTATGCGCGAGTGAGTGTGTGTGTGAGACAGAGTGAGAGAGTGTGTGAGAGAGACAGAGACATTGTGTGCGTGTGTGTGAAAGAGAGAGAGACTGTGTGTGTGTGTATGAGAGTGTGTATATGTGAGAGAGAGTGTGTGTGTGAGAGAGAGAGAATCTGTGAATGAGAGTGAGAGAGAGTGTGTGTGAGAGGGAGAATGTGTGTGAGACTGTGTGTGTGTGAGAGAGAGAGAGAATGTGTACAAGGGAGAATGTGTGTGTGAGACAGTGTGAGTGACAGAGAGTATGTATGCGTGAGTGAGTGTGTGTGTGTGAGACAGAGTCAGTGTTTGTGTGAGAGAGACAGAGACATTGTGTGTGTGTGTGAGAGGGAGCCAGTGTGTGTGAATGAGAGTGTGTATATGTATGTGAGTGAGTGTGTGTGTGAATGAGAATGTGTGTATGTAAGAGAGAGAGAGAGAGAGAGTGGGAGTGTGTGTGTATGTGTACGCGCAAGAGAGAGAGTGTGTCTGTGACAGAGAGACACAATGAGTGTGTATGTGAGAGAGAATTTGTGTGTGAGAGAGTGTGTGTGTGAGTGAGAAAGAGACAGAGAGTGCATGTGAGAGAGATTGTGTGTGTGTGTGTGTGTGGTGTGTGTGAGAGAGAGACACATTGACTGTGTGTGAGAGAGAGTGTGTGTGTGTCTATGAGGGAGAGACAGAGAGTGCATGGGAGAAAGAGAGTGTGTGTGTGTGTGAGAGAGAGAGAGAGACTGTGTGT